TTTTGTTTAATTTGAAATAAAACATATTCATTTATTTTCATATCATGACAATATCAAAACGTTAATCGTCTAAGCTTGTCTTTTTTTAAGATAAGATTATAAATCATATTGTCAATTATATATGATTCATTTCGATTTTATTCTATTTCAAAAATGTATGAAGAAAGACAGATAGTTGAAAAGATATCCAATAGGTAAAATATATGTGACACGATAATATCAACTGTGTTCGGTCTGTTTGTTTTCAACATACCTTCGAGCAACGCGAAGGGGGCGTTAAATGAATGGATATATGTGTGTGTGTGTGTGTTCGATGACTGATGACTATTCGTATTGATCAAACTAGTCATTATTATCTTTTTCTTTTTTTCTCTCATCATCAGCAATACATGCTTGAATGCGTTTAATATATACGTTGATTTCTTCTTATTCGACTAGAGAATGAGAGAGAAATGGAGAGATATACAATAGTATAAATACATGCACATACAGATTTATTTTAACAGTAGTAAATTTTATTCGAACGAAAGCATTATTTAAGGGGAATTTGTGATATTGGTTTTCTATTTCACATTCTCTTTCAATAGTGCCTTTGTCTATTTTAATACAACTACAAATGAAAAGGTTAAAGTAAGGGTACAGAAACTATATCACACATAAAGAATACAATAAAAAGAATTTTTATTTAATTGTCTTCATGTATCAAAAATCCACCAAACGTTGAATATCTCCAACCATACAACGATGTTTTAAAATGATAATCTCCATCTTCACGTGATTGGGCACGTATATAAATTCGATCACCACGATGTAAATATAAAACAACTGTTGTTGATGCTGTATTCCATATAGGTACTTTTTGATTTTTAACAGCTGTTAAAAATCCTTCAACCCATAATGGTACAACGTTTTCGGTATTTTTACATAAAGATACTGATGCCTAAAATTTACAAATATATATATAGTTCGATTATTTTATGTACAAAAAAAACATACGATATGATTAGCTGGTACGCAAACAGTTAAACTAAATTCATATAAACCATTGATAGGTGCATAGTAGATACCTGTATTATTATTAAGATTATAATTTTTATTTAATATAATATCATCCCAAACAATAATAGCATTGCTATCTTGTAATGAATATGTTTTATTTAATGCAACAAAAAATGCCGATTTTAAATTAGAATAACCATCACGACCTTGAAAAAAATAATTGAAAAAAAATATTTATTTATGGTTTCTTATTTTTTTTTTTATATGTTAAGATTTACCCGGTGGTCCTGGTAAACCTGGAGGACCACTTGGACCTTGTATGCCTTGTTTTCCTGGTGGACCAGGCGGTCCTAAAATCAAAAATATTTTTTTCAACTTTCAGTTTTTTTTTTCTTTAAATATAAACTTACCATCAGGTCCTTGAATATCAAGTGTAACACGATTTCGAGCATCTAGAATAAGATTAAGAAATTCTTGATAATATATTTTATTATTAAGATTTAATTACTTGGACAATTGATATGTAATTTACATTGATTTGCTGATGATTTCTTTTGCGTATTCCCATATGTCGCTGCTATTGATGATGATGATGATGATTGTTGTTGTTGTTGTTGTTGTTGATCAGCATAATTATTGCTATTCTGATTTCGTTTAGCTGTATAAGGTGATGGTGTTTGTTGTTGTTGTTGCTGCTGTTGCTGTTGTTGTTGTTGAGATCGATATTCATAATAATTATATGGAGATGGTGGTGGTTGTGCTGCATAAGAACCGGTATTAATTGATGGACCGGGATCGGCTGTAATAACTACCGATATAATTATCAATCTGAATACGATTGAATGAATCATTATAAACGCTTAAACTACAAAGAAATAAATAAAAAGAAGATGTTAATCATTTTATTATTTGTATTAAGGTGAGAAATTTATATAAAACAGCAGGAGGTAGATAAATGTCACTGATCAAAGTAGAAAAAGAAAAGAAATTAAAGAGAGAGAGAGACATAGAATTTCTTCTTTTCTTTCTTGTAGAGTATGATATTTCATTAACAATCTCTAACTGAATTGGCATATACATTATTTTTCAATCGCTGGTTCTAATTTATATTGACACATACTTGTTTTCTCAAAAGAGGATGACATTATCAAGTACAAGGAGTCTACCTTATTTCCTTTCAATATAAATATACATATATATATTGGTTTGTCTTGAGACTGTTAAGAGGACAAAAGAAGCGTAAGAAACACAAGCGCGCTTAATTAATTATTAAATAAAATGAGAATCCATGATGGCTTTATTTATTATTCGTTGTGCTCTTGTGCCAAGGGAAACGACGGAATCAGAATAGAGAGAAAGAAGAAAAGTCTAAAAGGAAAAGAAAAGTCACCGGGCATAGCAAAAGAGTGTTCAAGATTGATCTTTTCTTCTTATTCTTTCTAACTCTATTAGGTGAATAGAGAGGAAAAATGATTATGGAGAGAAATAGAAAAAATAGAAAAAAAAAATGTAAATAATACACCTTTACTCTCATCGCGTAGCCTTCCGGTCTCTAAAAACTATTCTTTGTATAAAGTAGAGAGAGAGAATATGTGCTTTTCTCGTTCATTTTCTAATGTGTCAGCAGAACGAGACTTAATAAAGAAAAATGAGTCTGGATTTACGTGCTTTCTCGTTCTCTTTTTACGTCAAATATAAACTCGATCAAGATCGAAGGTCAAATCACATTTTATAACTATGCGGATAGCATACCGATCGAATTTCACACGGATTGCATCGTGTTTTTTTTCTTCTAGTTTACAATGATAAGGGATGTGGGTGCACTAAATAAAGCGTAATCAGACGAGCTGAAGTTCACTTAATACAATCGATAGTTATTGCTATTTTTTTCCTTTGCTGACGGGCATTCGTGCTTGTTAATTAAAATGAATCGGATGATGAACCATCCAAAAAAAAACAGTGTCTTTTTAATGAGACGAGAATCTCCTTTAAATGCTGGATGTGTATATTCTAATCATAGATTCCTTGCGGCAAAAAGAAGGAGAAAAATTCTTTTTCTATCGTTTCTACAATTTAGTTATATTATCGAATGGAATTTTTATCTCGGTTAGAAGCATAGTCGATGCTATTTTGTGATTGTTATTATTATGATTAGTGATTCATTTCTTATTTTTTCATCGAATATGAAAGTTAAAAGAAAAAAATAATTAAGATGAATAAGTCATTATTAACAAACGTCAATTCGATTTCATTACACATGAACAAGTCACTAACAAAATAGTATTCTATGCTTTGAGCCGAATAATAGAAAACTGTCAGACAAAAAAAGTTCTATTAAGCTTGGCAGATATCATAACTAGCACGTAGCTCAAAATGCATTCAAGCACGAGTTGTACGAGCACTAATAGTACGATAATTACTTAAGTAAATATTTTATTTCTAAAGAAAACAAAACTAATTAAAAGAAAAGTTATTTTATCCCATTATCAATAAATTAATATTTATGTTAATTAAATTCAACATTTTATATTGACAAGTGGTATTGTTTTTTTTATATTTGTCCTTGTAGTTGATGGTAAATGCTGTAATTGAACTCATGTACACTGTGTCTTATCTATGAGTCTTAAATATACATAGAATAACCGTTATAATCAATCAAAATAACTTAAGAATATTCTGAAAGCAATAACCAGATCATCATAAATATTAAGAATTTCTGAACAACAAAACATTTCTTTCGATGAATTTTCTAAAAAGAAAAGATTTTCTCAAGTTATTTATTAATGTTGTTGCTATTTTTATATTTCTTTGATCGATATAGTTGGTGAGTGATTTTTAACATCGTTGTTAATGATGATCTAATATCATTCTTCATTATACTGCGTAAAGCAATGCATGTTTTTCTTTTTTTTCTCTATTCGATGTAGATGATGGATGATGGCTAGTTGAATTTTGATGATGATGATCAAGTTTATTACGTACTAATTGCTCTATTTATTCCAGAACTTTCGTACTTAATTTCTGTATATTAAAAAGAGCCTTAGTAGATTGAGTTTACCGAGAAGTATTTACATTTAGAATTTGAATAGACACATTAATAAATTAGTTTCAGTAATGTTGAATGAAATACAATTATGAAAACGAACATAAAAAAAACGTACTATCAATATAGTTATGAAAGAATAACATCTAGTTGATAATGATCGCTTCAATTCGATTGACATAAAGTTTATTTGATAGCTTATCGCTTCGTTATTAACGGTGAAGGTTATTTAAACTAAATTTATATGATAGATGAGTATTTTATAGGCATTGTAGAATTACCAAATGTTATTGATACTGTAAAAATGATTACAAGCTGTGATTGTAGTTTTAGTGAATATTTATATATAAAAACATGTTGAATAAAACAATATATTGATGCTAAATATAGCAACTACTTTTTTTTATCGTGTATTCATTAATAAAGCAGGTTTCTGTTAATTTACATTAAAAAAAAACTGGAAAACATTTGAAGACTACAACTGTGCTTCACTTATAGTTATTAGTTGAAAGAAAAAAAAAGAAAACGAAGCTTTCTATAATTCAACTATATATCTTTTAAAAAGATCAAAGAAAGAAAAAAATATATATGTTAAAAGATAGCTTCGACAATGGTGTTGTTGGATAGGAACAGTAACGTACATGTGATCTTATCCAATAAGATTTTTTCATATCATTAATAATCCTGAAAGTTAGTATATTATTGATAAAAAAAAAGTAACATATTTAGCTTCGAAAATAAGTGTACAGATAGTTTATATATTTCATACGTTTGATATGTCAGTTAAAGAATAAATATATCTATTTTTATCAAGCTAGTGATTGAAACGGTTTTGCATGTAAAGAACATTTACAATTGGCATCGTGTTCACGTTTGAGTTTACGTTCGAATTCTTTTACTTCTGGTGTAAATAGAAATTGAGAAGTAAGTACCTGTGGCTAAAAAAGAAAGAGAGAAAGAACGATAACATTTTATAATTTAGTACAGATCAATAGATTTTACGCGTGGTCGTCTCAGTGTAGGTGGAGCATATGCTCGAGTTTGTGGTGATCCACCATTATTACGAATACGTTTTTGTTCTTCAATTTTCTTGTGATTTATTTCCTGAACTTGTTTTGAATACGACTTTCTCTTTTTCTCTGTGTCAAGCTTGAAAAATGAACCAATTAGAATGAATAATAAAACAACAAAAATAATAATTTCAAACTTTTTCTTCGTAGGTTTGTTGAGGAGTTTTACCAAATGCAGCAGGACCAAAACCACCATTTTGTACAAAACTTTTATATTCGGTTATAACTGATTTATGATTGGCTTTTTCATCATCTAAACGACGACGTTGATTTTTATATGCATTTACATAACTACCTATAAAATAAAACAATAATTTTCTAATAAGCTATATTTATTTCTAACCAGGATCAGGCGCTGAAAGTCCATAAAGATATTCATGAATCTTGAAATTATTTGGACGATTAACACTTGAATGCATTAAATCAAAACTATAATCTTTTGTCGGACTACCACGTGATTTTGATTTTTGGTCAAAACGATTTGAGATGGGTGATTGATTTGGAGAATGAGAATTATGATTTTCTCTATTCGATCCATAATCTGTAAAAAATCCTGGACGATTATGATCAATATTTGGTGAACGCTTTTGCACTGGCTGTGGGATTCGAGGGAGATTAGGTCCCCGATTAACATTTTGTTCATTAGAATAACCATTAGGACGTGATTGTTTCGGCATACTATATTGATCATTTGCATTTGCATTGGCATTAAAATCAAAACCATTATTATAATTTCCATTATTTTGATGTGAAATATTTGGTGGTTGATAAGATTGAGAAGGATGAGGAGGACCAGGCTGCACAAAACGTTCACCAGGTTGTTGATGAGATTGAGGAGGAGGTGGAGGAGGACCAGGCTGTATAAAATGTTCTCCAGATTGTTGATAGGATTGATGAGGTGGAGGAGGAGCAGGTTGTTGGTAATATTGAGGCGCAGGAGGAGGAGGACCAGGTTGTTGATAATATTGAGCTGCAGGAGGAGGACCAGGCTGCATAAATTGTTGATCTGGTTGTTGATAAGACTGAGGAAAATTAGGTTGCATCATATATTCTTCTGGTTGTTGATACGCTTGAGTAGGAGGTCCGGGCTGATTAAAATATTCTCCTGATTCTTGATTTGTTGTTGGAGGATATGCTCCACGATTAGCATTTGGAGGAACATATTGTGTATTATTCCAAGTTGACTTAAAAGAAAAATGAAGTTAAAATAAATACTATTCTTTAAAATGATCAGAATTATGTAATAAATATTACTACTCTTATTTGACTTTTTAACTTACCATGTCAGGATCTAAATTTGGTTCATTAACTGCATATGAGTTATCATACGTGCCAGGTTGCATAGCTGAATTGTCTACCGAAGGTAGATTCCATGTTGGATTTGTAAATGAATAATCCACGTTATTTGAACTCATTTTATTTGTAATATTGCTACAATATACATATATAACAAGACATCTAATACATATGTGAATGTGCAACCATTAAATATCACTCTTCAGAAATGAATGTGTTGCGTTTATTTTAAAATAACTGAAGCTTTTGAAGTAGAATAATTTTTCACTTACAATCAATGAGATGCAACGATTGCAAGAAGCAAAATTATTCACATAAACGAATGCACTACAGAGGCAAGAAATGATATTTATATTAATTTGTATAAAAAAAACTATTTCGACATACTTCAAGTCAATTTGATTTTTCAATTCAAATTATAATCTTATTAATAATCCAAGAGAAAATGGTTAGTAAAAAAAATTTAAAATATTAAAAATAAAAAGTAAAGGTAAATGTCTATAGACAAAAATCAAACAGAACGATTGAAAGAAAAAGAAATGAAAGAATTAAAGAGTGTTGATGTAAACTTAACATGTGTCTTAGCGACGGATAAAAAAAAAACATTTCTTCTTCAACATGTAACAAGAATATAAATTGTTTTCTTTGACTGTTGTTCACACTTTCGATGAGAACTAATAATGAAATAATATTTTTCTTTAAAATTAGCATCGATTTAACATAATATTCAAAGAATTTTGCATCATTCTTAAAAAACAAGTGTTTGTAATGTAGTTGGTGAAGAATATTTTTTTTAGCAAAACGAAAAGCTTCATTCAGTGATATATCATCATTCCAAATATTGAAAATATAAGAATTCTAGTTGTATTCTCTATTTTTTTTCCAAGGAAGAAACTTTAACTAGGTAATAATTCATATTATTATAATATAAGTATCTTTTTATTACGCCATTAACATCTCTCTTCTATTCAGAGTTTATCGATGATTAAAATCATGTGCTACCATAATAGATTTTTATTTCTTTTACTCAAGTAGATCAACTTAATATTATTTTTACATCAGACTGAAACTTGATCATATTTACCCTATTTTGAAGAACAAATTTTAGATTAGAATTTCATTCTATGCATAATAATATTCAAAAAAAAAGATTCATCTTTATAGAATGTATAACACATCTTCTTTTCGTACGTTGGATAAATCATCATAAATATTACAATTTGTTATTCGAGTACTTCGTTGTTTATTTTTTTCATCCTTCTTAATTTCTTTACCTTCAAGTGCTTCTACTTTTTTGTTTACAACTTGACTCAAAATCTAATATATACCATAGTTAATCATTAATAATTCTCACAAACTCTACAGTCAAAAAAAAGCATTTTGCGAACACTGAATTTCAAAGTGAATGAGACATACAAACGTGTAGCATACATTTCAGAAATGAGATCATATTGACCGAGTTCGTAAAACATTGGAATACACTACTTTATTATGTTATTTTTTTTTTCATAAAAAAAGTTGTAAGGCTTCAAATCTAATTTTAATGGAATGAAAATATTCAATCAATTGTTTTATTAAAGACAATATTGTTCCGTAGTACTTTGATATTTCAGTTTTATTCAATAAGAAATCTTGACTAGTATTATATACAAACTCATGAATTCTTTAATTCATTTTCTTCCATTAGATGTCTCGACTTTGTCTTTGTTTGATAATGAGGATCATATTACAGGTAAAATGTATATTGTATCAACTTCTTTTCTTTTTCCTAGGTTCTATTGTATACATTTCGTAAAGTATATTCATGATGATTATGACTACGCCCATTGTGAAAGCAAATGACGAGACAACCGATGTGATTGAACGATTTCAAATACTAATTGACGCCATCAGAATGTATCATTATGTGACTATACATGATGAAATTTGAGAATAGAATAAGAAAAAAAAATGTTAAATTATTGTTACGAATTTTTTTCTCATTTTCATTATAAAAATTATTAAATCAAAGCAACATGATCTTCATCTTGTTCTTTTTAACTCTTCAACATTTTGTTTATAGTGAAGGTGAGTAAATTAAAAATAAAACAATATTTATTTATATTGAATAATTATTATTATCTGTATAGATATCTGCAGTTCTGTTTACTGTGGTTCAGGGACATGTATAGAAACAGAAAGTCCAACTTTACCATACTATTGTCAATGTCAAAATGGTTCAAATACGATTTTACCATGTCCATCTGCAGGTCTATATTAATTATATATATATCAATATTATAGGTTATTATTTATTCTATTAATTAGATCCATGTTCACAAAATCCATGTGGTTCAGGTACATGTGAAGTAGTACCAAATTTACTTTATGGTTACGTATGTCGATGTGCTGATGATACTGTATCATTAACAAGTTGTAACGGTATATTAGTTTTCACAGTTTTTCTTTTCTTCTAAATATATCAACGAAGTTAATATCATTTAGTTACTCATAGTCCATGTGCATCAAGTCCATGTATCAATGGAGTATGTATTGAAGGTTTAACAAGTTTTATTTGTAGTTGTTTACCATCATGGACAGGAAGATTATGTGATAGTATGTATCATTATTTCAAAATGAACAGAACATTATTTCATAGATTTGTTTTATTTTTAATAGTAACATTAGATTTAACTTGTTCAGATAATCTGTGTGATACAGGCAAATGTTTTCAAATTAATGATCCATTATTTCCATATGTATGTTTATGTGAAAATGGAGAATTTGCTAGAACATGTCAAAGTATTGTTGATTCTTGATTTAAAAACAAGTAAAAGTTCTTTTCAATTTTATTTTAAAGAAACTACGACATATCCAACAACTACTCCTTCAATCATTACAACTATGAATTCTATGTCAGATATGTGTAGTCCACTGAATCAGGACGACTGTTTGAATGGTGGTGAATGTCTTCCAACAATAAATGGTTATCAATGTCTTTGTACGACAGGTTTTAGTGGAAGCTTTTGCGAAATAAGTAAGTTTTGAAATTCAAAATATCCATGGTCTTTTATTTAATTATTTAGAAACCAGTGCATGTGCATCATATCCTTGTAAGTAGAGTATAGATAATTTAACAGAGATTATGAATGGTATTTAATTAGGTCTTAATGGTGGTATTTGTTATGATCTTCAATCATCTTATATATGTGGTTGTACGGATGGTAGTTTTCGATCACAATGTTTACCAACTATAGGTAATTTATTCTGATATCGAGAAATATACATCTCTATTCCATACCACTATATAAAATAAATATATTTAAAACAAAAATGTTCAATTTATTTCTTTACTAACACGATACGTTGTTTTTTTATAGTCACAACAAGTACAATTGATACAATTATATGTCCATGTAGAAACGGTGGCGTTTGTACAGTGATTGATCCTGAAACATGTACATGTCTAAATGGGTTTACAGGGCGTTTCTGCGAAAATATGATATGTGGGAGTTTTTTTTTCTGTTTATTTATTGTTATTATTATTATTATATTTAGCAGATAATAGTTGTCAAGACGTTCAATGTTATAATGGTGGTACTTGTCAAGAAAATTCAACAGATCCTTCTAAGTCAGCTTCATGTTTATGTAAGAATGGATACACAGGACAATTTTGTGAGATCGGTTAGTCAATTTTTGAATAGAATTCGAATTATTAGTATATATTTTTTTTTTTGAAGAATATTTTCGATGTCGATCCAATGGTCGTTTTACAGATCAATATAATTGTGCCAATGGAAAATATTTTGAATGTGTTCATTATGAAGGTAGTTTGCATGTTTATTTTTGTTGTACCTAGTTTTTAATATATCTTTTCTAGATGGAGTAAATCCAGATGGTAGATTATTAAGTCGAAATTGTCCTGCATCACTTCGATTTAATGCTATTATGGATCGATGTGATTATCCAAAAAATGTTAAATGTTAAACCAAAAAAAAACATTTCTTTTCTGTATATTGTCTATTAATTATAGAATTAGATAAACTTTATGTTAATCATGATCACTTTAATAATCTTTTGTGTTAATTAGTTTAGTAGATTAATATACTTGTTGTGAATATATGTTATATAATAAAAAATATCATATAATATTGATAACTGATGATTCCTTGCTTGTTTTTTTTTTAATTAAAGAGTGTTATTCCATGTAAAACGTGAAAAGTTCTCTTTTTCATTGATATGTGTAATCCTGAAGGTTATAGACTAAGTAATATTAGTTTTCATATCATGATTGCACATGTAGACTGATTAATAAATCTATATGTTAACCATTAACTTTCATTTATTTAGATTAAATAATAAAGAAGATCTAACATCAAGTAAAGTTGATATTATCACACTGCTAGATATTCTACTCCTGTAATATACATAATAAAGATCCTTGGATATGTGTATATTAGCAGCTGCATAGATATCATCTTTATCATTTAGTATCGTATTTCTCTCATGCTCATTATATCATCGCTGTTGAGCAATTAAATTATAGAAAAGAGGGCTGACCTATAATATCAACTAAGCAAGTTCAGTCACGTTCTAATAAAGCATTTAATAGTATATAAAAATTTTATAGCTTCAATACGTTTTCGATTGCGTGAAATGCATAAAAATTATCTGTCAAATTTAGTTAGACTTAATTTTCTCAATTGAGCTATCGAGATGAATTTTGTCATATAAGATCTCTACTACAAAAATTATTTATCTAAAAAACGTAACAGTGTCGACGATCTATTTTTAACTATTATGACACATTGCAGAGTGATCGTTTAACCAATAAATGCTTTTCTTTTATTTCATTTGCGCGAGAAACGTCATATATTTATTCGATTTTACCTGGAGTCGACTAGTACATATAAATTAACCAGGTTTTTATCTTGCCAAATCTATAGGTCTCTTATTATTGCTGCTTTCGGCATTCTCTCTTTTTTTTTCTTCTTTCCTACCCGATTTTCTATTCTTATTAACCCCATTGCATTAACCATATAGTAGTCAGTCAGCAGAGAGATTCTTTCTTCGTCTTTTTTTTCCTTCGATCGTCGAACATTGTGTTTGCGTCCTTTTCTTCGTCATCATTTCTATTACA